TATGTGTATATATATATGGGCCGTGGGTGAGCTGACGCTGGGGTGTTGGTATCAGAGAAAACTATGGAGTCCAACATTGTTTTTGCAAAGTTGCACCCTGAAGCAACATCAATTTCAGTGACCTCTGATTGGTGTAACCAGGTGTCATTACAGCTGACGTGAACAACAATCTTATTGTATTTAGCCTTAGTCAGCAGTTTCAGGTAAGATTTGATGTTGTTCACTCTGTCCACTGGAATGCATTTGACTATGGTCACTGGAGTCCCTAGTACCACATTTTGGATTATGGAGCTGCCAATTACAAGGGTCTACTTCTCAGCATGTGTGTCAATGAGTGAGGAAAATTGATTGGGAATATGAACGGGTCGGAGGTGAACTGGAGGCTTAGCCTTAGCACTATGCTGACTTCGGACCGTCACCCAGCCAACCTGGGGTCCCCGGCTGCTCGGTGTCTGCTAGTGGACCACTAACAGGAGCTATATTAGTATGTTTTTTTTGTTTGTTTTTTTCATGCATAGCATTCACTATACAGTTGCGCAGCTGCACTGCCCAGTCATGTGCTATGGCAGGGTCCATTAACTGTTGACGAAGGGCCCTGCCAGCAGGGAGAACCATTTTCATGAACGAAGTGGTGTTCTTAGAAACCAACAGTGATTAGAGTGAAATTCGTTGAAGTAACTTTCACAAAAATGACATAATCTAAGTTTTCCTAACAAAATATGCCACAAATATTAAATAACCTCCCTCTTTTTTGTCTGTTATTCACTGAACAACATAGTTTTCTGCAATGACAATATGTGGACACAGCAATTTGAAAGAAACAACAACAACTAACAAACAAGCTTTATCAGACTTGGGAAACTCATTTTATTCATTTGTTTGTTTATTTATTATATTTTAATATTACAAAAATGCACACTTAACTATTCTCTTTGTCTTGCTGTGGTTATGATGTTGTAGGTGACAGCATCTGACCCAGATAAGGATGCTGACCAAGAGGCCCTGCGCTACTCCCTCCATGGTCAGGGTGCAGAGAGTGAATTTATAATTGATGAGGTTACGGGAAAGATTTATGCCCAGCGGACATTGGACCGTGAAGAGCGCGCTGTTTGGCGTTTTGTTGTCCTGGCAACAGATGAGGGTGGTGAGGGTCTAACAGGCTTCACAGATGTCATCATCAATGTTTGGGACATTAATGACAATGCACCCATCTTCCCCTGCGCTCTCAGTTGCCACGGAGATGTAGCAGAGAACTCTGTTTCTGGGACTTCTGTTATGGAGATGAGTGCAACCGATCTGGATGACTCAGCAGTGGGACAAAATGCTGTTCTGTCTTACAGGATAGTGGGTAGTTTGGATGCCACGAACGTCGAGTTAGGAGGAATTCCTACCTTCTCAGAAATGTTCACTATCAACCCCACCACAGGAACTATTGCTGTAGGGATTGGTGGTCTGGACAGAGAACAGGTTGAGTCCTACCTCCTTGTTGTAGAGGCCAGAGATGGGGGAGGAATGACAGGAACTGCAACTGCAACCATTCAGATCAAGGATATGAATGACCATGCTCCAAGATTCATTGATCACTCCTGCCTGGCACGGATCTCTGAGAATGCAGAACCCAATGCAGAGGTGGGTAAGAATGGCTGAAACAGTACTCCTGATGCTATAATCTTTTTGTTTTATACATTTATATAATATATAAAATACTATTTTCATATGAATTAATAATTTGACTTGTACTGAATTCCACTCAGATTATCAAAATGACAACTGATTTTGCATATATTTACTTTAGTTACAGATTCAACCTAAATTCATCCACTACATTTGCCAAAAGTTGCTTATTGATAGCTTAAGTGTAAAAATATGTGGTTTACTCAAACAACAGTTTTCCCATAAAAAACAAAGATATATGATGTGGCAGTACTTGAATTAACAGATATCTGCAGGATTTTGTTGCAGACATTTTTGGCGTACACTAAGTATCTGTATTTGTGAAGATCTTTGCCTCACATAACAAATACTTTAACTTAATCTAGTGACAAATTGTGATGTGTCTATAGCAGGTGAGTTATATTGTCTAATACTAATGATAGTGAATTTTAAATCTATTACGTTGTGTATTGTGTAGAGGTACATTTGAATATTAGAATGTCTCTGATGCTTTTAATTGCTCATTGTGAAACCAGGGCATTTGGTTTTTTGACACATTTTATTTTACACCTGCTTTTTTTGGTATTATGTCATGGCAAACATTAGTCTGCTCTTGTCTATCCACACACTTTTATTTTGCACCTTTTGGCTAGTAGTGTTAAACCTGATGTAAAATATTTTGAACTTTATGATATCACAAAGTAGTATTGCTTGTTTTAAGGTCTTGGAACTGACTGCAGAAGATTGGGACACTGGAGAAAATGCCCAGCTGACCTTTAGTGTTGTGGCTGGAGATCAAGAACAGAAATTTTACATGGTCAGTCTCAAACAGGAACAGCGGGGCATCTTGAAGCTCAAGAAACGTTTGGACTATGAAAGACACAGTGAGCAGAGGTTCAACCTCACACTTAAGGTGAATAAATAAATTTAGATTCACCCTGTGTGTGTTTTTTATCCCTATTTTATTTTTTTTTTTTAAATTGAACAAAATGTTTAATGGGTTCTGGAAAATACAGTTTAAAATGTTGAAAATTATTATAAAGGAAGCTTCTTACTTGGTACCTAAAAGTTAAGAAGTCACACTGACAATCTGAATTTAAAGATGTAGATATTGTCAGAACATAGTGAATTGTACAACGTTCTGAGACTTGTTTTCAACAGCAAGTACAACATTTTTATTTTATTTTATTTTTTAACATTCATCATTTAATATACTCAATTAACCCACAGTTTCCAACATTTGTTTTTGTGGAAAACATTCTTATTCATTTTAGACTGCCTTAGAAACCCTTATCCAGTCCATCATTGTTTTATCTAGGATAAAGATTTTAACATTATACGTTAAGGTTCTACTTTTCTATCATGTTTGATAGTGTTTGTTTTTTTTTAGGTTGAAGACCTGGACTTCTCAAACTTTTTGCACTGTGTGGTTGAAGTGGAGGACTACAATGATCATCCTCCTGTTTTTATTCCACACTTTCTGGCTCTTGCCCCCCTTCCTGAAAATGTCATTGTGGGAACCAGTGTGGCTCATCTGGTGGCCAGTGACTCAGACTCAGGCCAGAACCAAGATATCACCTTCGGCCTGTCAAAGGGCTCAGATCCTGATGGTCTGTTCACTATTGACCAGTCTGGTGTACTTTCAGTGGCTCGTCCACTGGATCGAGAGAAAACATCCCAGCATACCTTAGTTGTCATAGCAACTGATCATGGGATTCCACCTTTAACAGGCAGTGCCACAGTTCAGCTGCCTTTGTTGGATGTAAATGACAATGGACCAGAGTTTGAGGCAGCCTACTCCCCCATAGTGTTTGAGAATGCGGCTGGACCACAGGTAGGCTTGTATCTTTTTGATTTGATACATGTTATTCATACTGTGTTTTACATTAGTGATGAGAGAAATACTGTAGGAAGACCAAGGATCAGTGTCATGGATGGAAACTCATGCCTTTAAAAAGTGACAATTCCTCATACTTTACCTCTTTGTTTAGGTAGTAAGGTTGAACCAAACATCAAGGCTGCTCCTAGCTATGGACAAGGACTCCCCTGAAAATGGGCCTCCCTTTCATTTCACATTACCCCCGGAGTATCGCTACAGCAATGATTTCTACCTTCAGGACAACTTGAATGGAACAGCAACACTAACAGCTTTGAGGACATTTGACCGTGAGCGCCAGAAAGAGTTTCTCCTTCCTATAATTATGAGTGACAGTGGTCATCCAGCCAAAACAGTGACCAGCACCCTAACTGTGACCATCGGTGATCAGAATGATCATCCTCATGTGGCAGGGGAAAAGCATATTTCCATCAATAGCCATAAAGGTGAGATGTTTTTTCTTCTTCTATTTGTAGATGAGGAAAAACTGTGCCCAGTCACATCTACCTCCTAAACATGTTTAAAACATTAACACATCAAGTATGGGTAGGGGGAATGTTTCTCAGACCACAATTCTTCAAACGGTTTAACCATTTTGTCACTCACATACTCCCCTCGCCAATTTAATTTTATGGTACTATTTTGGATAAATGTGAAGTCATGGTTTTGAGAGAAGACCCTTATTCAATTGATGATGCTGAAAGCTACTGATTGTAGCGTCAGTGTTTACAACCTTCAGCCACTCACATTTATCATTCCTTCTTCAGCCATTAAACACAAACTCTTCAATCAGTGGCATTTGGAAAACAGTGAAATTACAAACTGTTTTCTCTCCGAATGATTAGAACGTTGAACATCAGCACAGCAAACTATTGCAGCTTTGTTAACGTTATAGTTCATCTCAGAACAAACATAAAGACAACAGGTTTAATATACATACAAACACAGAAAAATCCTATGTCACTGAAGTGAAGTTGCTGCAAATATCAATCAGAAAAGTGAGATATTCAGTTTAACAACGTGCAATGCAGAGTCGCATGTTTAATAAGTCTTCCTCATTTTGTTCTGCAGCTGCTTATGTATAAATGATATTAAAATATTTATATATAACTTTATTAGTAAAATAAATCCAGAAGTCACAATTCACTTGTTTTGTTGTTCAGATCTTGATTATTTGAGTCTTCAATTAAAAGTAGAATGATCTGCCTATTCTTCAAGTTGGAGAGATGTCTTTCCTTTTTCTCCAACCTGCAAAAGACCTGGACACCTGTTAATCATCTGAAAACATTGTTTTTATTTATTTACCACCCATTAAAACCATAAATGCCAACAAGCTGATTTAGTTGGTTAAACTTGTTTTCCTCTAAAGCTCGTGGCAGACATACCCACAAGCTAAAATCCATCTGTTCAAGGTGTGCCTTTAAATGTTGGATACATATTTTTTATAGTTTCCACATAGTTTTTTTTTTTTTTTTACTTTATTATAATCACTATCTATTCAAGCATCACTTTTATTCATATGCTAAATTATTTCTGTTGGAATCATTTCTAATGTCATGTATTGTACTGGTGAGATAGAAACACGTTCATAGCTTGAAACATAACAAGCACATTCAGGACTTTCAACATGGTTTTTTTTTTCTTCTGTCTTATCTTCTGTCTTATTAGTAGTGTTATGACTTTAAAGCTCTTAGCCAGGTCCTATTAATATTATTACAAAGATACCATGCACATCGCCTAACAAACACTGGCTTGTGACATGTACAAATGAAATATCAAGGCAAAACATCATCCTTAGTTTCAGATATAAACTTTTCTGCTCTGCATTTTCATAGTTTAAAGCGTTTACCCACATATTTGTTTTCTCTCTTTCTTTTTGATTTTCAGGTCGTATGCCAACAACAGTTCTTGGAAAAGTTTATGCTCCAGACCCTGATGATTGGGACAACAAGACCTATATTTTTGAGGGACATATGCCAAGGTAAAATATTTAACAGGCCAACAGCATATGTTTTGTACTGAAATCATTCCCCTTAGGAGTTTTTATTTATATATTTTTATGGCATTAAAGTATCAGTTACCATTGAAATCAGTGGAAACTGAGATTTTAATCACATAATGGGGTGAATTACAATTACTTTGCTTTAACAACAAATTTAAGTTTCGGTTTTTCATTTTTCATCCCTTCTATTTCTTATATCTTAGCTCAATATGCTATCATTAATTTCTCTTTAGAGTATTTTATAATGATGGTATTTAATTCTAGAGAATCTGAAATAACTGAGACAAAAGAATGACATTAATCACAAGTTGTAGTATGTAAAAGTATAATGTTAGACGGGACATATTTTAACTCAGAACTAACCAGGTCATACTTTCACATGTTGTTTTTATACACTTGTTGAGTAAAGCTGAAGTGCGAAGTGCTTTCATCAAGATTTAAAATGATGCTGCTAGTCTTTGGGACAAACAACACTGAGAACTTTCACTCACTTCTTACTGGTCCTTGCAGAAACCTCCAGCTGTTATCACTGCATAGATTCTGACCTCACCATTGTGGCACAGTACATTTTTACAATCCATAGGCCACCTTTTTAATTTCATGTTTGATCACAAAAAACCCCCCAAAAAACAGAACACATGATCTTATGAAACGCATAAACTGCATAAAATAATTTAATAGGTATTTTGTAAAATAAGCAGTTTGTTTCTGTTTGCATTGAACTCCACAGACGTGTGCAATCACAAAACAAAGAAAAAGGAGAGAAAAAGAAGAACATTGAACATTTGTAACCTCTTTTTTTCCTACTTTTAAACAGGCCCGAATCAGTTCACAGAGAAAGGTCAAGGTTCTTTATTATCATTTGCATTGCATGTGGTATATGAGGTGGAATGAAATTGTGTACACAGGGTCCCAGTTACATCCAACAAAAGTATAAATTGTAAAAGAAAAACAGTAATAAGGTGTAAGATATGAACTAAGAACATGTTAAACACTTAATAGTGCAAAAACAATACGCCTAATAACAGCAGCACGAACATGAGTCTGTGTGAGCAAATGAGTACGAATGAACACAGCAGCATGACATAAATCAGCGGCATGAGATTAGCAGAATGGATAATCAGCAGTACATATCAACAATCAAAGTGGCATTAAAAGTTTTTTGTTTTTTTTTACTCACCTTGCCATTTCGTTGAAAAAAACAAAACATCACCAAAATGCAAATTGAGCCTCGGTGATAGAAAGTTGTGTTTTGCTGTTTTCACATAAGAAGCAATGTGTAGTGCACCCACTGTGGAGGTACAGCACTTGTACAGCTGTTGTCAGGCCATTAGATCCATCAAGGCCTTCACTGCTGGTTGAAACATCCAGTGATAGCAATTAGTGACATATGGTATAATATCAATACTTTTATTTCTTTATTTAATAGTTTTGTAAAACATGTTAAATAATAGACAGTAGTCTATATTTTTTTAATTTATTTTTACTTGGTTGGGCAACACTTAGAAAGCTATAATTATTTTACAGCTTCTGTCCAGTCATATTTCAACATCATGTGTTGCTGTGGTTAATATAAGAAATCTGCCTCTAAGCCTTCAGAATCATTAATGCAGTCCTTGTTAGCTTAAAAGAAATGGCAACAAAACTGGTATTTTAACCAGTCAGATTTTGAGTTGGCAACACTGAGGCCATCTAGCAGACCCATAAAGTATTTACCATTTTCATATATTTTGATTGGATTATCAGAAAGCGTAGTAATCAGAGCTAGCAGACATCAGATATGACTTGTGATTTGTTGTGGAGGACTTGCTAGTTTTTCAACCCATAATGACTAAAGGAAGGGAATAAATTGATGTGGTTGCAGATAATCTCGCAATACATTTTCTAAAAAGTGATGTTTCAAGAAAAGCTGGGCATTGTGAGAAAATGCCAACCCCAAAGATAGCAAGTCTGTCACAGCCTGGGAGAAGGTTTGTCTGCCACTTTAGCTCACAGCTTCCAAAAAGCACTGCCTGTTGTGTTTCTAGGAATCTCTGCTTGCAACTGATCAACGTGATGTTTGGAGCCACACTGTGTTTGCAAATTTGAGCTTTTGTAACCAAAGCAACAGCAAGACGCTGAAGCACACATGGACACTTACAAGCAACGGTGTATTTGAATATGTTCAGGGAAACCTGAGTGGATGTACAGCTCAGTTACTAGGTGCATAAAAAAATAATATATATATAAAACAAAATAAAAATAAAATGTCACTGCCGTCTCTAGCTAGAAATATACTCCAGAAACAGGACTAGACAGACTCAACTTTTTGCATTAACCTCCATGGCAGCGAAAAAGGACATATGTTTAGAAGCTAAACAAACCAGTAAGGGTCGATGGCGTCGTCCAGCAGGTAGCGACCCGCCACTGAGAAATACTCCTCGGCGCTTACCTTGAAAACAAGGCTGCTCGTCTGCTTCTCCTCGGGGAGGAGAACTCACTGGGACAGTAGGAGGTTGGCGTGGCGGGACCCCAGGCAGCCTCAACAAAGGTTGTGCCGGTCAGGCTGGACAACTTCCCCTCTTCGTTCTTCTGACAGTGCTATTAGCTTGCTGAAGAAAAATGGGAGCCAATTACTCGCTCTTAACGTAATTTATACGGACTGGGTGGGGCCCACACAACAGGTGGGCATCGACTAAACTTTTCAGTGCAATGCTTTGCATGACGGGATAAACCCACTAGCGAGGGCCTTAAAGGGCGAAGCCTATACAAAATAGAACAGATTTTATCTTTCATCAGCAGTAATGGCGATAAAATGCATTCTGTTTGTTTTTAAAAAGGTAAATCCTGCCTAAATCAGCCCTGCAGTTTTTTTTTTTTTTTGTACCTAATTTTTTAAATTGTAGGTAGAATTGTTTTAGGACTCTAAATTTGTGAAGATGGGGTTGACTGTATTTGTGCTATTTATTGGGCTAATGAGATAAAGCTTCTGCAACAATTGATGTGTAAGGTGCAATTGTGGGTGACTTTAAAGGATACCTAATTGTTGCCTAAGTTATATTTAATTGGTTGAACATTTCCTGTTCCTCCAGGACAAGATAATCCTCAGTGGTTCACTAAAAAGCAAATGGACTACTTCTCTTGATTCTTGAAGACGCTTTACCACATTTTTTTTTTACCTTATTGGGTTATTTTCTGTTCTGATTTTGTGATGGGAGTTTAAAACTAAACATCGTTGTTATAACGATTTGAATAACAGAGCTGATAAGCTCAGTGGAGTCACTGACCCACCCCTCCATCCTGTGAGTCATTTTTTTAATTAAAACGTGTTGAATGTTTCCCAACAAAATTAGAATGTGAATAGTTTAAGTCACGTTTATACGGTGTGAATGGTTGTGAATGAACATCCATGTGAGTGGCTTTTGGTTGAAAGGACATTCACTTAGAGTAAAGTTTGCCTAAAAGAGCAAAAAGTAAATATTCACATTTGCTTTTAGATTTAGTCGCATCTAGTTAATACGAAACTAAGGACTAATATTAGGCCCTGTTTATAACAAGTGCATTACGTATTCTACTACACTGAACAGCTATATGTGTGATCAGCTGCACTACTAACTTATACAACAAAACACAATAGGTTTTTGGCTCTGACCCAATTGTTTTTTTTAATTTTTTATTTTTTTAATTAGGGATGAACAATATTGGATTTTTGGCAGATATCCCATATGCCGATATGTTAAAACTTATTTGGCCGATAACCGATGATGATACTGAAATTTTATATACGTTCCTTTATCAGAACATAGCCCTCTTATTTAGGCCTATTTGCTACAAAAATTGTGCACCAGCTGTAAGAGCTGGAGACATATATTCAGTAACAGCCATATGATATGCATAGCACTTTAACTTATATTAAATGAAAAGTGTTAAATGTTATTTATTAGCATTAGTCACCTGCGATGCTGTCTCACTTGTGGAGGCTTGCTCCAGGATCCTAGCTGCAGTGCAGGATCCTCTGCACTCCTGTGCATGAAGGACAGACTTTTTAAGTTCAAAGTTTTTGTCTCTCCATTGTGTCGTAAGACTAAACATTCTAAGGGGGCTAACACGACGTCCAAATGTTTGTGGTAAAACTCGTCCAACAAGTCGTGCTATCGGCTATTAACTTCTCAATGACGTAGGAAATGACTGCTTGTAATTCGGGTAATATTACGTCGGAAAAAAGATCTCCGACTGGGGACGATGTAGCGAGGCTCAATGTAGTCCATAAATCTTCGGAATTCGACATCCTCGCCAACGAAAAATAAAACTTCCACACCGCCGACATATTAAATTTTACTCTCCACTGTGAGATCAGGTAGGCTCGCATGAGGTCTTCACGTTGTGCTGCCGCTGCAGCGTCATCCCGTTCTGCTGCAGCTGAAGGCAAAAACAGTGCCTTTTATTTTGGCAAGTTATCTAATGGAATAGCCGATGTTCGATATTGAACTTTTTGAACTTTAATGCTAATATCGGCCAATACCATGCCGATAATATCATGCATCCCTATTTTTTTTATTATTATTATATTTGTGTATTACCTATTTTGCTTCCCCATTTGTGGTATAGTGCAGCAGAGGTCTGTTAAGCTGTTGCCCAACACATACACAAGAGTTGCACTGTTGCCTTTGTGCTTGCACAGGATGGAGACTGCGACAAAGTGAAGATTCAACTTGTCTGCTGGCTTCCTTAGATAGAGAACTTTACTAAATGGCTTTTTTATGTATGTGAATGTTCCTGTAAAGTGCCCTGAGACAACTTTGTTGTGATTTAGCGCTATATAATTAAACTGAATTGAATTGACTTTAGAAGAGAAGTTCTGTCCATCTCTTCTTACATGAAACACTTTATCAGTGGCAAGAACTGTACAAATACACACCTGTCCACAACAGTGGTGCTGCAACAACGCTAACAGCCATTAGCTCCATATTTTGAGAAGATGTGCTACTTGGTCAATTACA